TTAATGACATCGTGAAGTTAGTGTGGGATCATGGGGAGTTGTTGTCTTCAGCACCATTGCCGTCATTGCAGTCGGCTTCTCGGGGGTTAGGATTTCTTCAGTGTTTATCATTCAGGAGGTTTTTACTGGGTGCCAAATTATCCGGATAGGTGTCCAAAACAATTGTATGCAGTGATTAAGACTGGTAAAAAGTAAAGCAGTTTCACTTAAAAAACAAATTTTCTCAAGACACTGTTTGGCAGGCAAACGACGTCCTAGAGGGCCTGGCTCTGATAACTTTCAATCCAGAAATCTGATGACTAAAATTGTTCAGTTCAAAAACAGTTTTAAAAAGACCAAGAGTTAAAAATCGTATTGTAAAAATGTAGCTTAAAACTGGATTAAAAACCAATTTATGAAGACATGAAATACAACCCAGGAAGTCCAGCTTGAGTAACAGATGCATGAGTTCGAAGGCTCATCAGATTGCAAAACCCTGTATAGTTGTTTATAATACAATTATCATAAACAAACCCATTTGATAAAGAAAGCTCGATTGTCTAATTTGATTTTATGCTTGAATTAACAAAACTGAAAGGAACACATTACTAACCGCACAATTCTCACTTGTCCCTCTGCAGACTTGGCGTAGTCTCACGTTGTGCTTCTTCCCTTGAAGAGCTCAATCAGCACTCATCGATTGCTATAATAAGATTATCCTACTCTTAAGCCCCTGGTCACCTTGATTGTCCCTTGTTCAGTTTAAAGTTTGCACTCTAATAATTTCCTCTAAAGTTACTGATGATGGAGGGTAACTGTGATTAGGAGTTTAACTTAGGTTATACCTTACCCTTGGAAGCTTAGAGGCTGTCCTAGTAATGAATAAAACAGAAATACAGCAAGGTAACATTCAATGGATATTTTATAGTCCTTTTTATATTTTAGAATTTAACCTTTTTACTTTACACAAGCACAATAATGCATATTATTCATATTTTCTAATGAGTTCTTGGTACTTCAGCCCACACAAAACCACTCAGCTACTCCAGCATCATGTCAGTGTGGTATGCAGTGGCTGTCTACTAGACTGGATATCTTCTTTTAGTGATCTTCAGTCCATTAATCACAGTGTGTGTGTGTGTGTGTGTGTGTGTGTGTGTGTGTGTGTGTGTGTGTGTGTGTGTGTGTGTGTGTGTGTGTGTGTGTGTGTGTGTGTGTGTGTGTGTGTGTGTGTGTGTGTGTGTGTGTGTGTGTGTGTGTGTGTGTGTAGATTGTGAAAGCATGCATCAACGTGCAGTGAAGTAGTCAAAAATGGGAAACTGCTACCAGAAGACACATATTTTATTTTATCATTCTTTTTCCTTACTTGTTAGACTGAACACTAAATGGGTATGCAGTTCAATATTTTGTTATGTTTTTATTTACATTATTTGATTCTGCAGGACAGCACCCGTGGGTAGAGCCAGTGATCTTTGAAAAGGACAAAGTGACCTGCTTAGGTGTAGAATATGCTCAGAGGCGGGACGACACTTACCCTTTTATAGAATCAAATGAAGGGAGCAAAATACTGTATTCATAAGACAGATAATTCATACGCTCACTTGCCAAATTAATCAAGTTGCATAGCAATGCACTGCATGTCCACTCTTATCACAACCGTGAATGGCTCCAGCTTGTATTCTCAAGTAAATCAGCCCGTCGTTGCACAGATGTTTTTTGGTTCACTCTAGCCTTTTGTCATTAACTTAGTATTCATTTCTAGAATCTCTCTGGTATTGTACTGGTCCTTTCGTGATTGTATTCCAAGCACATTTTTGAGACATTCCCAGGGTTTGCTTCTGTTCAGTTCTCATGCTTTGTTGCTTTAAATTAATTCTGCAACATGATAAATACCATTACTGCTATCTGACATTTAGGATGAATGTTGCTGGATTTGAAGCGTTTGTGTCGGAAACCATAATAAGCTGTGAGCTGTTTTCTTGTTTTGCAACCACCCCGCCCGGCCCTCAATCCTGCTTTTATCTTTTCGAAAAGGGCAAAATTTGTCATTCTGATCCTTGGTGGCCCCAAAAGTTCAGATCTGTAGGTTTGGTGTTGCTGGTTTGATGTTTGATAGTAGAGATGTACAACAATCTAACATGGGCCCCTCAAAAAGAAAAATCAATCCAGTGATCAATCTCAATTTCATATGGCTGCTGTTGTTGTTTTTTCCTCAGCTTTACCTCCCCTAGGGAATGTTTTTAGAGTAATTCAACAGAGCACTTCACTCCCCAACAGTGAGTCTGTACAACAGTGAAAGCTGTAAATGGTTTAGTGTTTAGTGTGCATCAACGTAAATAATGCATTGTTTATGATACACAGAACATATAAACAGCATTGACCATGTTTCTCATTTTTAACCTTTTTGTATTTTTGTTGCTTTTATCTGATAGACACATTAGACAAAATAGAAAGACAAATATGTTATACAACCTAAGAATATATATGATATGTGGCCCAGGTGAGCCAAAGAACCCCTCCAAAGGATCACTGATGTGTGCTTCCATTTTGACTCTACCTACAGCTACAATAAATACACAGCATTGTGTTATTTTATTAATTCTAATGAATTACATTGTTGATTGTCAGACAGGTTAGATTGTATTTAAAAAGCTTATTACATATCAGCTATATTTGGGAATGTCAGGTTTTGATTTATTGTTTTGTCAGACTGTGTGAGGTCTATTTCTTTTTTTTTTTTATCTCTACAAAAAGCCAGAACCGCCTCTGCAAGTCTTACTAATGAGTCTCTGTTAGCGCCCAAATATCTAATCAAGGTTTTTGACATAGTAATTGAAAAGCACCATTTCCATCACTGTTAATGTTTTCCTGTGTACACTCTCAACAGATCTAGAACAGTGTGGAAAAATGAATACAGTGCTCCGACATACCCCTTTTGTAAACCAGTCATATAGATGGAGTCTTTGATACCCCAAGACGTTGATTCAGATTTGTTTTTTCACTTGTTCATTTGTACAATGCTATCAGCCTCTCCAGACCTCATCTGAATTTTGTCATTTAATAGCCAGACTAATGAATACTTAATTATATTCAGAGTGAGTGAGGTTGGGGGTCTGGACACAAGAATCTCAGGGTTCATTACTACACCAAGGACAAATTTCTATTCATCAACACTCATACAGTTGACCCACACAGTTTTATTAAAGCGTTGATATGAAATAATTGGAAAGCGCTAGAACAGTCTAGTGTGCTTGAAAAATCATAGGTTTTTTCATTAGGTCCTAAAATGAATACTTTTGTTTTTTTTCTTATTTGACCAAGTGAACTTTACTTCATACAATTGTAGCGTTTAATATTATTTTTAGTAAAGCTTCAGTTCTGTTTTCTGAGCAGTTTACTGTTCATTTAGCCCCAAGATCCTTATTTACAGTTGCTACACCTGGGATATTTACCACATGTAAATTTGGTAATTTTGGATCTTTGATTTTAGCAGGTGTCTCATTTCTAGCTGACAACCATCACTTTGTCGGCTAAAATGAAAACTGTCACCACATTCTCTTCATTTTAGGAGCAATAGCTAGCTAGCTTCTTAAACAAATGTTAGCTCCGTGAGTTGAAATCACTGTCTCCAGCTGACATTTTATAGTTTTCTAGCTGACACAATGTAAAACAAGATTTATCTAACTTTTTTTTTTTTTTTAATGTAACCTGTTACCCCACAAAATGTAGTTAGCTAATGAAATACTACCTTGGAAATAACCCTGGGTTACTACTGCAGTGTTAGGTGCTAAGCTAGTTAGCCAATAATGCTAACATTTGCTGCTTACATTTGAGCAGACAAACACTGCTTAATTATTTCCATATAGGGAAATATATATACTATACTTTTAAACTTGTGGTTTTTGTTTTGCAAAGGCTTAAAAATAGACCCTCCAAACTGTGTGAAAAATGTGAATATCATTCTTACCAGAGAGGCGTGTAAGTGTCTAGTTACATTTGCTAAGCTATGGTTGGACAGTAGCTGTTTAGGGGAGAGACATCAATCAGTCTATTAGTGTTACTTTTGTTTGAACTTGTTTGTATGTTCGTGTATACGTAGACCCATATTTATTGAAGTTCAGAGAAGTGCAAAGGAAGGGCAGGTTATGAGGCCAATCATCACGACCGCTTGATGTGCTTAGTAATCTGAAATACAATTAGATCTTAATGCAGCACACTTAAGCTCATCACAAATCCAATACCAATCAGTGATGTCCTTGGTACTAAAATGGTGGCCTGTTTCGATATTGATCAGACACTGCGTTGCTGATGAAAGTGTGGCGCTAGTTGTTTTACAATATTGATTAGAGGGGAACAAGAGAAGCTATTTTCTGTTTGGTTCAAGCTCCAGAAATGGCGTCCCTCTTGGGCAGTAACCTAAACACAGTATTTCTGTGCAGAACCTTTAAAGGGAATCGTTTTGATGAACTGTATGTGAAAAATAAATTACAATAAATATTACGTTGCAGGCTTGATGGTTCAGGTTTGAATGTTAATAAAAAATTAAATAGAAGTATTATTATTGTCTAAGTTGAAGTCTATTCCTAGTACAACATCTGAAAACCTCAAATAAAGTTGGAGCTCAGTGAGTAATGTGGGGTACAAAATAATTTAGCATGTGATAATATTCATGTTGATTTTTAATTCATTTTGGCACCCAGAACTCACACAGCAGTACACTGTAATTAAGTCTATTTTGTTATATTACATTATTTTTTCCAGTTTGTTGAGAAAATCTACATATTTCTAGGAATAATGAGTTTATTTTAAAAAATTTAATTACATTTAATAAATCACTGTCTTTAAATTGCTATGTTTTTATGCATTCCTGGGATAGCTCTGGATGACAGTGACTATCTTTAAATTTAAATCGTCTTATTAATATCACATGTAAATGTATACTATGTATGTATTCATGTATTATTATTATTACATTATTATTCTATGTTTTGCTCATCTGTCATCTGTGTTTGATATTACAGCAACTGATGAGAGAGCGTCAGCAGATGGCCAGTCGTCCATTTGCATCAGTTGCTGTTGCACTGGATGCCAGGGGAAAACAAACAGAACCGTTGCAGCCTATGGTTGATGTGAGTCCTGCTTAATTGTTTATAAACACACACACACGTATGCCCATACAATATATGCAATTGAAAGGAGTTGCAGTGTAACTACAACTTTATTCCTGTACAATCTCGGATGAGCAGTAAGTGCTTCTACTGACATGTAGAATATCAGTTTTTTAAGTCCTTAATAATTAGCCCTTATTGTGCTGTACTCAACCAGCTCCTGCCCTCTACTCGCAATATGTCAGCCTTTCATCTACTCCTCACATCAATAAGAAATCTGCCAGTGATGGTCCTTTCTTCCCACATTCTTCTTCTTTATATGAATTGTCCTCCGCAATCAGGGCGACAGACTTGCAATCAGTGTTTAAAAAAGATCATTTATGTGAAGCGATTTCATGATGCCAAGATTTTATAAGTTCTGTATAGATTTTTCAAAAGGCTTTTTTTAATGGTTGTTTTAATCCTCTTTCAAAGAAAGGTGGTCAATATGTTGAAAAGCATCACTGAATTGGAAAGGGATTGCTCTGATGGTAAAACGGTGACATCAAGATGGTTTTTGGAAAATTGTATTATGGTTCTTACTTGTCATTTAGCCTAAATCGTCCTTTTGGGTTGTTCACTGGTAATTGCACTTGATTTTGCATTTTGATCAATTTATCATCATTCAGCACATCTGAAATTTTCTTTCCTGTCCAGTTGCTACCTCTTTATTCCAATGACTTGAATACCTCCCATATATATAGAAAGTAGAGGAGAAGTCTTGCACTAAGCACAACCTAGGACTCAGATGCCACATGAGATAAAAGTGTAACTTAAAGCAATATGGGAAGCTACATCCACAAATTGACATTGGAGGACCAACAGGGTTTCCTAAGCGAGGGCCAGATCTGTGTCACCTGCCTCTGAGAGAAATAAAATCACTGTGGCAACCAGCAAAGAGGCACTACATTAGCTATTAGTTCAGTGCTGAGTGGTACTCACCGTGCATTATGGTATTGTGAAGGGCAATGTAAAGAACAAAAGAGGAGAAAAACAATGCTTCTTAGCTCTCTGAGTGCACTTTATTGTTGCCCGTTTAAAGCAGTGAGGTGCAATCTGAATCTGAATAGTGTTGAAAACCACTGCTTTACATTGATTTAAGTAAAATGTTAACTGCATACTTGTCAGTGGGACTTGTGTGCCTGTCTTTTATTTAATAATTTATTCCGGTCCTCCCTTTCCTGCACAAATATCTTTTGTTATAGAGCGCATTAAGGTAGAGACTTTGCATCCACTGCAGAGTATTGCTGTAAACAATGTCCCAAGCTGTTTTGAAAATGATAACTGAAAAAAAAAAAAAACCACCCACATCCTCAGTCTTCTGTTTCTCGACCCTTTCAAGATGCTGAATGAACCTGTGAATGCTTTACTTTTAGTTTCACTTAGATGTCCATACAGCTTTTAAAGAAGTTACTATAAAAGTGTTGTTGCAGGGAAAAACCTGAGAACTTTGTTGTTCAAGTCTGTTCTAAATTTATTTCACAGAAATTTGGATCACAAATTTATATGCTGAATTTTTCATTGGCATCCACCAAAGCATATGGTAAATGGTAAATTAGGCACACAAGGGTACAAACAAGTTATGTTCCTGCCCAAAACAAAAATATATTGCTTAAATGAATTTTGACAATAAACATAAATGACAAGGATCTTAATTGTAATGAATTCATTTCCTTTCCAGAAGTAGTACATAAATGGTCTCAAACATTCAACAATGTATAAGAGCAGCACAGCCTTACTGTTTGAGGAGATGTTGTGATATAGTTCTACATATGAAAGCACATTATGACACCCAAGTAGCCTTTGCCAGCTTTATAAATACATCACCATTTTGGACTCTTTCCATGAGAAAAATCTAATCTGCTTGTTTTAAAATGTGCAAATGCATGTGTTGGACCACATATAGCCCCATCACGTGCCTTGGCACTAGCTGAAGGTGAACCATATGAAACAAGCCTAATTCTCTTTTTATAAAGGTTAATTGGTCAACATCTGCCACCACTTAGCTATTGGAAATATTTGTTGATGTCAAAGAGGACACTGATGCTATGCTGCTTTCCTATTTGTTTCCTACCAGCTCTGTTTGTACTTAAAACTCAGACGCACTCATTCGCCGATTTAATGCAACACAAATTGTGTAGCTAATGTAGACATATATACGGGCGCATAATGCGAGAAGTACATGCAGTACAGGTTTGCATACAGAGTTCTGTTTGGAGTCAGTATCATAACCACACTAATACCTGGCGCAGCTTGTAGAGGAGAGAAGACACAGAAGGGCTGCAGCACTAGAATGACCCTTCACACCCATTCCAACACATGAAAACATTTAAAACCTTATTCTTTGAGTGTACTGTCAGCACGGATCTCGCTGCATTAGTTAGTACCGGCTCTCTGTCACTAAATCTTTGCAGACCCTCCAGCTGGTCTGAGAGAAAATGAAAACAGCCTTTGTGCCCATTTCCTCCATTTTTGGTCAGTTTAAACCCCAAGAGAGCGACATTGCTTTTAGTGACCAAGATGTCAGCAGCTGTTGGATAGAGAGCCAATCGGGCCCAAAACACTGCAGACCTAGGCCTCGATGTCACAGATGTCTCTATTCACTATGGCCGGCATTCAACATATGGAACCACTAACGGACAGCTAGTGTGATGGATGACACCTGTCAGCAGAGGGAAGGAAAGCAGATACTGTGTGTGTGTGTGTGTGTGTGTGTGCGTGTGCGTGTTTGAATGCGTGTGTGTTAATGTAGTTGGATGGTTATGAATGACCATAATACAGTCCCCGCGGCTTCATTAATACATCGTAGAAATGCAGGCTGTGTAAATCTTCTTTGGAAGATAGGCACAGCAATTTTAAATGCCTTGATAGAAAATGTAACCCTATGATTGAAGTGGAATGAAATGATACATTAATGTTTTTATTTCCCCCTGCGTTGTAGAAATACTTCAGTTATCCTAGATTAATATAAGCATTTCACAGAATACGAGAGAGAGTGCTGCCTTTCACACAAACCAAAATGTGTTTTTGTTTATTTCTTTAATGGCAAAAATCACAGCATTTGATTGAGTATAATGTGGAATTGCATTATCTTATAGTTATCCTACAGTAATTTAATTGAATGACAGCATTGCAAGAATACATTACTTACCTTTAAGTTAGTAGTAATGATACCTCTATTTATAATACTACCAACATTTATATTGGCGCTAACACTAGTGATTTTATAAACTTTATGTCTAATGTGTAAATTAAGAAATATGTCCAGAATAGGGAGTAATGCACAGTTAATAGAACAATCAAACCTGAGGTGATGGTGGTATTACTGTATATTTAATATGTACAGGATATATACAGGAGTGGCAGAGCAGACAGGATGTGTACTACACACAAACTACAGCTGGGGCTTATTCCACTATGTCGCAGTATTTAATCATTACCTTGCAATGATTAATATAAAGATTGAGACAGTATTTCTATATGTGCCACACTCTGTGTTACTAAGTTATTTGGAACAGCTGTAATGATGTTTCACCCAGTGGTCCGTGGAAGTAAAGCTCACAGTTGAATCCGCTTTAATCAAAAAAATCAGCATAGGTTAAACTCGCTTTCTTGCATGAATGTGACTTATATAGCTGTTCATTAGCTGAATCACTTGAATGGGCATGAAATGGCTGGCAGTTTAATTGCCCTTGTATGTCAGCAGTAGATGTAATGTCTGCCTCTCAATCATTAATGTACCTGAAAAGATGCATGAGAATATTGTGAACTGATCATGTGGCCTAATTGGATTGAGTCTCCAACCTGCCTGCAATACAGAAACATGTATGACCCTTGTGTTTGAAATTACATTTTAGCCTCTTTGTCATTGCTTTCACATAGTGGCTATGAACGAGTCTTTTAGTGCATTAAATATAGAATTATTGTACGTTCGGGACAACTAGACTTGATGTGCAGTCTTACTTGAGGCCCCCTGGACTAATAAATGTACCGAGTCGATCCAGGGTTGCATGTAAATTAGTTTTAAAGCTAAGTACTTAAATGCAACATGTAATGAAAGGGTAGATGTTTTAAATGTAAAAACTGAATACATGTTGGGCTTCCTAGAACAGTTTAATAACTCATTGACAATTAGAGTTTGTGTCTGTCACATTCAATGTACTTTATATTTTAAATCTGGTCTACACTTCCATTTTTTTTATTTCTTCACCTTTGTCCTGCTCTCCATTCTCCTCACCTTTCTGTTCCTCTGTGTTAGTTCCAGCTGATTAGTAGTACAGGCAAAATGGAAAACAACCTGAGCCAATGCCGACAGCATTCATAACCTCAGCAAATGATTAGATTTTTTCCAAGAGGGCTCTCCTTTGATGAAGGACAAATCCAGTACTTCTCAGAATCAACATTCAACATCATGTTTGTTAAGGTTCGCCTTGTTTGTACACTAAAAGGCTTCACAGATATTTCACTACAGAGCTAGTTCATTGTTAAGCTAGCTAATCATTAGTTTCACTTCCGATTCGCTCCTGTATCTGAACAAATTTAAGAATAATGTGCAGTACAGTGTGTCCTAAAATATCTTCCATTCACACCTTTTCCCTCTTTTTTTATTTTAAGCTAAAATCCCCAAGTAAGTAAAAGTAACCTCTGAGAAAATTAAAGATCCCAAACCGGCTTTGAACAAGCTTATGGCTAGTTTTATTCGTTTGCATGACAAACACGGTAAAACGATAACTGATGCATGCATTATATAATGTACAATAGCCAAACATTGACTTTGGAAGGATTTGGCTGAAAAATGTTGTGCTAACTAGCTATCACTAGCAGCTATGCTATTAGGGTAAAGAAATCTTAACCACAACAAATTATACATTATTATGTTCCTGGCCATATTTCTTTCTTTTGGTGCCAGTTGTTTCTTTAAGTGGATTTTTCCAAATATTTGACATTTCTTATTTGCTTAAAACAGCTGTTCTTTCCAGTCCAGTAGACCGCAGCTTCCCTCCTGAATGTTGCAGGTTGTTGTTACTCATGTTCAGCTCTCTCTGGCTCGAGGACTGTGAGCTGAGAATTGAGGACAGAGCTTTGACAACATTGCTCTTAATACGATTGAAAGGTTGAAAGTATGTTCATCCATACTGTCCATATTATGAGGTTCATTATTATGCTTATTATTCTGTTATGCGGCCATCAATGTCACTGAGTAAGAAGCATACACTAGTTGTGAACTATGGCATTTGAAATGGCAAACTTAATTGGAAGTTGCATGGGGTATTACACTGCATGCTTCATAGGAAACAAGATCGCACTTACTTTTGAACAAAGGACTCCACATTGCAAAGTGTGGTTGGAATGGTACTTATGCATAAATTAACCTCAGTTTTATGTTTGGTATTTTCTTTTCACTTTACAGTTGAATCAAATCTACATTTAACTCACTGCATCATTTATACTTACACACTATATCAAGGCTTTTAGAGTCGATGTGCATTCAAACATGCACAAATTAGCATCAGTGTTTTGTTATTTGCTCTTTGCACGGGGTGGAATATACACATGAGTGTATCCTTCTCCTGATTCTCTCATGTTTGAATATATGTGCTTGTGCATCCCTGGTTTTCTACAATTTTGCCTCTGCTCACTCTCTCATCTCCCATTTTAAATTCAGCCAGACACTGAGAAAAAAAAGTCAATTCCATTCAGACATGTTATTATTCCCCAATTTCTATCCCTTCATCCAAAACATGCTGTGAAACCCTTGACATTCATTATCAGGATGACATGTTTTTCACGCTTGAGACAAGCAGTTTTGGCCATTAACTCAGAGGGTAGGTCATTGCCTCGACACGTGGACTGTCTGACAGGGACACACACACAAGTGTTGTTGTTGTTGTGTGACCAATCAAACCATTTGTCTTAGGAAGAGAGTGTCTGGTCTTAAATGCAGCAACTACAGCAGCCTAATACCAGTGACTGTTGGTCCCGAAAAAGAAAAAAATTCAACAGCACATGTGCCATTGCAGAAAACAGCTGTCAAGATTTTCCAAGTGTTAGTGTCACACCACTTTGATGTACGCTTGGTCGGTAGAGCAAGTATGCCAACCACAAGAGGCAGGTCGTCAGTGAAGTGTTTTTATCATCCATACTGTCTATCTGTCACACCTGATCACAAATTACTGTTATCGGTGTTGTCTGTGCAGGATAAAGGATACCTTTTGTAGTTTTTAATGTAAAATCCAAATAAACCATTGAACATCTTCAGTTCTTGGGAGTCTTTCTTTCAAAGTCATCCTGAAATTGCGTTAAAAAAAATCTTTTTTTCTTTTCCTGCTGCTTCCCAGGGTGCACCTAAACCCGTTGCGATGGAGCCGTGTTCAGGAGGCAAAGCTGCTGTGTTGACCGTCCTCGTGCGTCTGCCCTCTGGGCCCTCAGGCTTACCTCCACCAGGACAGTCAGGTAAAACACACACACACACACACACACACACACACACACACACACACACACACACACACACACACACAACAAAAAAACACACACACACCACCACCACCACCACCACCCCTTATTCCATTAAAATGTATCAACTTTGCTGTGTGTGCGGTGAGTGCCTCAAGACCATATTTATCAGCCAGACTTCACATGGGAATTTGTTACTTGCGTTTTGGGTGAATTACCTTCTTAAATCCATTAGCAGAATTAGCAAAAAAGGTTACTTTTATGGAAAACATATGCTATATTTCCTTGATATTGAATATTAAAATTCAAGTGATTTCTGTTTTCAGGCTCGGTTGCACCTGCTCAGCTGACAATGCCAACGGCGTCTAAATTAATTACTTCAGTAAATATAATTCTAATGCTCAGTCGATGACATTTCACTGCAGACCAACAATTAGCACAACGTTCCAACTCTGCCACCTTCTCGCATCCTCATGATCAGTGACTTTATAACGAAACTTTATAAACCTTTCCCTCAGCCTAGATTGTCAATGTGTTTTACCAGACACATGTTTAGCATGGTTGAGTCTGTGTATATTTTTTGTACTATCAGAGTGAGCAGGGCACAAAGAAATGCACTCTTTTTATATATTTTTTTATTTAACTGTTTTAAGAAAGCAGGTCCATGGTTAAAAAGATTCAACATCAAAAACAGCCATTAAAGATACACCGAATACATACCCCATACAGACCACATTACATCGAAATACATCATTACCAGCATTTGCATCACAATGAAATAAAACAACTCTTTTATCCTCCTAATTCCTGAAGTTGCCACCAAAAATGTGGCTCCAATCCCCACCATAGACTGCATAATAAAAAATAGTCTCTGTGACGTCACCCATAGATTTCTGAAGAGCCGTTGTAAAGCTCAACCTGTTACTAAAAACAGCCATGACCTTTATTATGCATCATTTTAAGCCTTAATGTAGTTCTAAATGGGCGTGTTATATAAAAATTCACACAGTTGTCATAAACGGGAAATTGGGTATAGAGATCAAAACTGTTTTTTGTACCATACTGGAAACAATTCTGATGTAAGGTTGGGCATTTTAATATGGGTCCATATGGAGATTGACTCACTTCTGTAGCCAGCCTCAAGTGGCCGTTAGAGGAACTGCAGTTTTAGCCACAGATTAGTTAAAAAAGAAAAGTTGCTCTTAGAAGCTGGAAATATTGTACATAAACAACACACATGTTTTTCACCACCTTCACATCTTTCTTGCTTTTTTCCCTCCTTTAGGACTCATCGTTGCCAGCGCACTGATAGACATTTCACAACAGAAACCAACAGATTTTAAGGACAAGTCCCAGGCTTCAAAAAACCGAAAAGCCCTTCCTCCAGCACACCAAGGCACCTGCGTTTGAGTTTCAACCTGTCAATCCATTGGGTCCCTTTTTATACCATCTGAGGTCACATTGTTCCAACATGCCGCAGGTCCCGGTTGGAGGCCTTTTCAGAGACAAGACATGGCTACATGTAGAAGATTCTATTCGGCTGCTACCACTCAAGTTTTCACTGAAACTTGCCAAGTCCCGAGAGCACAACCCTTCTTACCTTTCTTTCCCAAATGCTCTGCTCTGCACTGCTCTGCTCTGCAAGTCTTCTGGTCAGATGATCAGGGAACGATTTCACCTCCATCTGCCGCGCCCACCAAATCTCTTCCCTTCAGCTTGGGCAGTCGTCATGGCAAAACCTGTGCTAAGAGGGGAACCTGCCTGATCGCTGGCCGCAGTGACATCAGAGACAGATTCTGAGGATCTGAACCGAAGCTTCAGTCGAAAATATGTTGTGACATCTCCATTGTCCATTTGCTCAGCGTGAGGAAAGGAAATGTGTCTGCACATTGGGTTATATCAAAGTTTAACTGATTTCCCTCGCACCATGTTGGAAGTACAACAGATGGTTTAAAAAAAAAAAAAAAGTCTGGTAGATAACCAGTCCATGCTGCCTATGGGGTTTTTGTTTGTTTGTGTCTTTTTGCTTGCCAACAAGTGGTATTCTAAGGTGCTAAAGCATTTAGTTCCTATGACTAGCCTGACTCTTTACTCAGCCTTCGCTCTATGAACTGAATTCATTCTGCCTTTTTGTGGGGAAAAGCTATGCGCTAAGCCATGACTCTTTTAACCCCCCCCGATAGTGTTTTGACATCTAGAGTATTACACTACATTTGCCAATTAGCATTATTGATCTGTTTTAGCATTTACTGTACATATGTATCATCCACCCAGCTGAAGCTAAAGTCTGTATTTTCTGTGGAGTACATATAAAAAGGCTGCAGAGACTGCAATCACTACCAGCAGCATGTGGATGAAGAGGAGGAGGCACGAACAAATCATCAAGTCATCGAACTAAAGCATGGAGAACTCCCAAACTTTGGAAAAAGATGCATTTTATTAGCAAACTGGAAGTTTCCTTGGTTACAAAAAGTTTTGTTTTCAGCGTGTTCACTGTTAAAGAAGTTACGAAGTTCTGGTCAATTCTTTACTGCAGTTTGTTATTGTATCATTTTGCTGTGCAACTTGGACACTGGGGGTTTGGAACTTGTCCTTGGATTGGTGTGGTGGGTGGATGCCATGAGAAAAAGACGTCTGCATAATAAAATTAGACCAGGGACATCGTGCTCCTCTGGCTGTTTACTAGTTTGTTTTGTACGTTTTTTTAAAGAGTCCTCTGAAGCTACGACTTTATTTCCATCTTTGAGTACAAGGAGTTACTTTACCTTTTTATAATGCCTTGGCTTTCCATGAACTCCTAAGGAGGGGGGGGCATGTTGATCTGCAGAATTTTAAAAAGCTGTCGACCATTTGTAGCCCCGAGTCCACCCTGAGCTGTACAGTGTCTTGTTGGAACAAATGTGAGTCTTTGTCACTCTTATCTCTTGAGATTTCATGTGTTTGTCAGGTTTTTATGACAGAATGGACAAGAGATTATCATTTATTTTAAGCCTTGTCACCTGTTACTATTATATCTATGATAAATTGTAAGTCTTTTGCTACACTTGTGAAAAGAGCATTTCTGTTAATATTTTGTTTTGATATTTAACAGATTCCTGTGTAATAGCGCATTTAACTTGATTTTATTGCTGACTTAAATCAGTTGACGTAACGTCAACCCCTTTTTGAATTGTGCATCTTTAAGGACTGTACGGGCATTGTCTTTTTGTTGCGAAGTAGTCATTTTGATGCATTTCATAAGGATAGTATGCCAGCTAATGTGTTTTTATTTTGTGTTTGTAGAGTAATCCTATAACAGTGTCATTACACAGGAATCAGGGTCTCACTGTACCGTGAAAAAAAAAAAAACTGCATATCAGTAATCTTCAGTGTATTTTAAAGATGGACAACATGCCAGAAAATAAAAAAAAACAGACCTGAAAGTCTTTTGTGCACTTGAGTCTTTTCACATGGAATACTTATAATACAGGTATGGAATTTTTACAGTATATTTCTTGACTCTCTCTGAGTCTGCCAGTGTGGTGCTTTTGTCTCTAAAGCTTAAACCTACAATTTGTGATTGCGTTCTGGTGCCCACTGTTCAACACTGGTTGATTGCCTCAGTTAAAGATAATTATTCCCTCTGAAAGTGTCTGAGAGAAAAAAACAAAACCCAGACCTGAATCTTGGTGTATTTTGTGCCTGTGTGTTTTTTAAGACAGATACACAAGCATCATAGTGAAAGTTACAAAAAATATATTTTCTACATAAATACTTCATAAGTAACTGTAATCTTTTTAAATGTGTTTGAATGTATGTAGTGTAATAAGTTCTGGGGTTATACTTTCATAAGTTTTTTTTTTTGTTTGTTTAAAGGGACGCACCAAAAACATATTCTTTGACATAATTGACTCTGTCAAAAACTGAATTAAAATACACTCATTACACATATTAAAGCATTTTCTCAAGTTCTATTTGGGATTATTAACTTTTGGATTTAATGTTTAATATACTTTATGTTTAATATTTGCATACACATTTTCTCCAACATTACATTGTAGACATAAATGAACCCTCTTTCTAAACAGTTCGTCATCTAATCTGCATTGTAACAGTCCTGGTAATAGGAAAAACCCAAATGCAAAGCTTAAATCCAACAAATTACAAAACATAAAACCAGATGATCCTGTAAAACAGCTGAAACCAAGAGGTTAAACTAAAATATACGAAATTTCAGAAAACATTCAAAACAAATGCCACATTTTCAACATTTCACCTGCAAGGTGCAGCTCAAGCTAAGCGAAAAATAAAAGTGTGGCATTAGCTTCTTTTAAAGATCAGCCTGATATTAAGAGGTTTGTCCTTCAATGTGGCCGACACCTTTCAAAGTGCTTGTGCTCCCTCCTCATCATCAGTGTTGTGCATTTGAACAAGGATGTAAAGAAAGGGGATGCAGCCTGCCAAAGTGCTACTCTGGTTAATCCTCTTTTATACTCAACAGTATACTTATTAGCTGCAGGAGCTTTAGGAGCTCCAACTCCATGTGAGTTCATTATACTGCTGTTGATGGCAAGAAACCTGGCCAGATAAACCCATTTAGTGCAAATGTATACATGTCCTTTATGAAGATTTTACACAATTTCTGTTTCAGACCAGTAATTTCACTGGGATTTCATACGGTATAGTGGTCACTCACCTGGTAGAGCGAGCACTCCATGTACTAAGGCCGTACTGCAGACAACCCTTTGCTGTATGTCATCCCTTCTCTCTAAATAAAGCCCCCCCCCCAAAAAAAAAAATTAAATATATTTTTTAAATGCTTTACTTTAAACTCTCTTCAGTACCCAGCATGGCCTGAACTCTCAGTTTGTCCTGGTTTGTCCTGGTTTGTCCTATAACAGAGAATCTACCATGCCCTGTGTGGCACTTGTAGCATGTTAAAGGGAGGTGACAGGAGGTCTTAAGGCTCCATTGTGCCTTGCAATTTTGCAACACTTGTGGCTGCCAGTTGAACATTTGTAAAGTGCTATACAACTGAGCCCTTACCCCCACCCGCTGTTTTAGTGATGTTGACAATAGACACGATGAATTGTCTTCAAAACAGGCACATTAGTGCAATTTTTGCCATCGGTGCAGTCGCTAATATAGTCACATAATCACTAATGAATGGTGAATAAATGAAACACTGTAGAATATAAATGGCACAGAAAAAAATGAAGGATAGAGACATGAATCCCAAGCTATAAATTAATGTAGACGGAAAACAAAAGAACACGACTAAGGCTTCTTGCAAAACTGATATACTTTTTAAGTATGTGAGGGACACTGGCTGCCAGAGCAAGCAATCTAATCTGGGGCTCATTGATGCACGTGTCCAGCAGACAAGTTACTGTGGCTCAAACTGCTGAAAAAGTGAATGCTGTTTCTGATAGAAAGGTATCAGAACACTCAGTGTATCGCAGTTTGTTGCATATGGGGCTGCATACCATTATGACCACCAGGGCTCCCAGATGCCGGGCAAATAGCAAAAGATAATCAATTGGATCGCTGGAGAAGGCTGAATATGTGTTTTTGGATATGGCACATACCGTCGTGGAGCTCAGAGAACCTGAAACTCAAAAAGCGGGGAGATGAGAAAGTGTAAAAGAGAATTTGTGAACGCTTATTATTGATTCATGAATGTGAGCAGAGACTGGCACAGATGTTTTAGAAGTTTCCACATGACAAACATGCTATTTCTGGTCCTTTTCAATTACTGTTGTCCCATTTCAGATTGTGTGTCAGTAAACCCAAAGTGCGAATCAGCATGATGTTTCTCTGCACGCTCAGCTTCAAACAAAATGTTCATCGCAACAGTTTTCAGCACTGATGAAGAACTGAGGTCAGCCATCCGGTGCAGCACACCGTCTAAATTTGTATATTGTAGACACTGATAATGTTTTTGCTTTAAGATTCATATACGCACGCTTATTGAGCAGGTACTTGTGAATATGATAACACGGTTAACTGCTAATAGTCACATGTGAACACCAGGGCCCGCTAATTGGCCCTGTGTCTGAAAAAGATCCAGGAAGGCACTAAAATATGAGGGGCTTCTGACCAAACAGTGCTGCCGGCTGTTCCAAGGTGTGACTGGTTGTTGTTTTTCAAAATGACGGTTAAGTGAACAGAGGTCATCGCTAAGTACTGGAGAGGGATGTGCTGAAAATATTTAGAGTGACTGCTGTGATGAACCTGAGTCACTGCTGGCAAACCGAAGTCTAGTCTGGTCCAGCCCTGATGGTCGTATTGTCTGGCTTTTTACAAATATGGAACTGTATTGTGTGTCATGCCTGGTGTCGGCTGCCTGCATGCTGGAGTGGGATGCCATGACGTCGACAGCAATGTTTGGCCCCGAGTGCAGAACTGGAAGGGGAATAGGAAATTATGTGTACAGTGTGTAATTGTGAAGAAAGGAAATTGAGATCTTGGTATAAATACTGTAAATACTGAATTCTTTACAGTTTAATTTTTTTAACCATTGGTCATAGTGACATAACCGCAGTCTTTGTCACAATAACACATTCGTACCAATGTTTTCAGGATATAGCTCCCGATTTTTCTGTGGATGTCGGTTGAGAACCGCTGCTATACATGACTATTTTAAGAAAATCAGCTAAAATGCTATCATCTATGCAGTCAAATCACTATGTATCAGTGTCAGTGTGTTTTACCTCCTTCTTATAAATATGACCTATAATTCAGTTGTCTTTGTTGCTGCCCTGATAACATTACAAAACGTTCCCCAGACTAATTGGATAAAGTAGGGGAGACCTTGACCTTGTCTTGTGCGTAAGTTGTCCCAATGCACTTAATTCAACCACCAGATGGCACTACATAAAACAAAGTCTGCAGTTTGATTGTCATACATGACCCAAGTCTGTGGTTTGGTAGGTTCCACAAACAACAATCAGAGTTCACGATTGCATGTGGATGGGTGGACATGGGTCCTTGAGAAAATAAGTCTACCCTAATGCACTTATGATGGAAGAGTATGGATTTGTATTCCTGTTTTTCTTGGTTCATCTCCAAGAGATGGTGATTAATCTGTCACTTTGAGCAATATAATTCATGGGGGTGTGTCAGAAGACAAATCTACAAAAACCATCCAATGTAATTGTGTTGGCTATTTTTTCCCTGCTAGAAGAATTTGGATGCCGGTGCGCACTGTAAATCATACTGTGCAGGCCTTAACTTCAGGAGACATTAATATCAGGGTGCTTTACATAGAACGGGGAAAATAAATGAACTAACAAAGATCTAAGATGTTGATGACCCTACTATGATTTAGTAATTCTTGCTTTTGGTGAAGTGGAAGATGTAAAAGCAAGGTTTGTTATCTTTTTTTTTTTTTTTAATTTTCATTTAGGCTACTGTTAAATTGTTTTAATAACACCCCTGTAGAAGATAGTGTTTGTTTATATGTTGTGTGTGGCCTCATACTGTTCAAAACGTTAAGTCCAGCTATTAATGATGCGTTCACGTCATGTCTGCAGAATGGGAGGAACGGGGAATATCGTTCACACCAAATAAATGGAAATATAGGCAAAATTAGTCTTTTTTTTATCCTGTTATATATGTATTCGTTAGCAAGATAAACTAGATATATAGAAACTATGGTGACTGTGTAGTTTATTTTTTAAATAGCGCCATTCACTGTGTTAGTATTTGACCTAATTGTCAGTGAACTTCTGCCCAAATGCAGCGGCCATTTTGGCTCCAGGTAGCGAACACCTGTGTGGTTCTTACTGTTCGCCAACTGGGAGAGATATCTTACCAAGCTGTGAGGAAAAAGCTCCACATTTCCTCTGCCGAAGGTAGATATTTTATCCCCAACCTGCTGGCTTTTTCTTTTTTTATTTACTTAAGAAGCAAATAACACAGTCGCAGAAACATGGCGGCCGTTTAAACTGCCCACTCTTTTTGTTTGTTGACATTAAGATAGCTCCCTCCTTTACACACTTGTCTAACTTTGTAGTAAATGCTGCTAGACAACAACAACTCCTACTGTGGCTTGAGGACAGCCTTACGGAGGAGTAATTGTGTTTTTGTTGCACTCCCTGTCAGCTCTTATCCAGGTACTTGCTGTTAAGGCTGAAAGCTGCTGTGGAAGACTTCTTTTCAGCGAGGTAAGACTTGTTGTGAGTGAGTGAGTGAGTGAGTGGATGTCTGCATCTGTTCAGTTTGTGTGCTTGGGAACAGAAAGTTATGCCATGTTTTTCTCAGGTGTCTTGGCATCTGCAGGTTGCTATTCCCCCCCCTCTTTATTCTGCTGCCTACCTTACAGTATGTGCACTACTGAGCTCATCCATCTCTGGCTGTTTGGCAGGTGCATTATGGCATGTGGATTTACATAATAGTGAAATATGAGTACTCATATTTAAGTATCATGAGTGAATTGCAGCGTATTTCCCTCTTGCTGTTCCTGTTGTTTTTTGTAGAGAGGGTTGTATTGTTTATTGGCTTCAGGGGTGCAGTGTTGTTTTGTTGTCTTCAACACAGCCCGCATAAACTATTTCTCTGCAGTACTGGCTTAACATGGGCTATTGTCACATAAGAGACGTTGTTATCTTCACAGTTTTCTCTAGACACTTAATATCTGCGAAGCATTAACTTAAATCAATGTGTGTCTGCTTTACTGTTTTTCATATCATGATTAGATCTAAAGTGCTGAGCTCCTGTTCAATGGATCACATTGCTGCTACACTCGGCTGCTCTTATTGCCAACCTTAAGCGTTATCAGTGTACTGATGGTCATCTGTGTGCTTGTCAATGCTAACTTTTCAGGAGAGACTGCTCCAAACAATAATTTTATTGAATATGTTAAAGCTCATTATGTTGCTTTTTTTTTTTTTTAAGCTTGCAGCTGCATAGATGGATTACTGGATTTAGATTGATCCACCCCTGTTCACTAAATTGTAGCCTATATTATGCTTGTTGCCTGATTTGCTCAGCCCATGAGAACAGTCACATTGTCCTAGTGGCCTACCCTGTATCTAATTTGCCCTATGACTATGGCCACTCCCCTGTTTCTGTTGTGCTGAGCTGAGTGCATGTTTGTGGGAAGTGACATGGTCAGAGCCTAGTTGCCAAATATCAACTCCCTACACATTTTGTTTTGACATAATAAATCTGTTCTATGTGAGTTGTCTGCTCGCTGATATCAAATAGCCTGAAAACACATGGTTTACTCAACTAGAGTCATTTAAGGTATCGTGTTTGTGCAACGATTAGCCACCAGCTGGGTGTCCTGCCCTTTCCATGAAGGACGTAGCCACTGTGTCAAGGTCTCAGATGGAACTGCTTTAAGCAACAATGCCTTCAAAATAAAATATATTGTTAAGCTTGATGGAGCACATTTACAGTAGCAGTAAGGGATTCCTGCAGTAAGAAATCTGATTAGTACATCCTTGAGGAAGTGGGTAGAAGCTCAAAAGCAACCAAAACTGTGACTACATCAGAAAGGCAACGGCTTGGATCAGATAGGAGGTTAGCTACTTGCTTGAAGTAGAGACTGCAGACTCCCCAATCTCTCATGGAAAATGAATGGCCATCAGTAATTTAAAGGGAAGCTGGGGCAATTTGTCATGTGGGAGAATGATTACTTTGATTGAGAGCAGCTGGTGTCATATTCTCCAGTTTCACCCCAGGTTGCCCTCTGTGGAAGTGGCACTCTCCGTGGTGCTGAACTACTGGCTGAGTGGCACGACGGTTCACAGTTTTGTACTTTGAATTACTCACGAGAACGACCGAGGGTCTTCAGTAAGGGCTTCATTTTTTATTTTAAAAAAGTTTAGAAGCACAATGGAAAGTGGAACAATAGGCAACTCTCAGCATTGAGGCTGTCAATTTGATTTCCACATTAGATATTTACGATTACAGGGTATATTGACATGTCTGAGCATTTTTAACTGAACTGTCATCTAGTGGGTAAGCTAACAAATGAAGGAAATTATAGGATTAATAGAAAATGAGTGGGCCCAGTTGACTGGTACTATGTGTCCAGGTGGTCTCAATGGGTTACATTGATCTTACATAATGCCAAAAATCACTGATTTCTACTGAAACTGAAATCCCTTTGCCATTCCAGCTGCTCATGTAGGTTTATCAGTTTTGATAGCTGGTTAATTGTTTTTTAAAAGTCATCTATTAAGGGGAAATATGAACAATTTTCTGAATGCAGCTTCTACGGTGTGAGGATTTGCTCTGTTTTACATAACTGTACACAGGTTTTTAGAGTTTTAGACTCTTGTTTGGACAAATCAAGACATTTGATTTTTTTAAAGAGTAAAACATTGAAAAAAAAAAACCCAGACAGATTAATCAATAATGGAAAGTCTCCAGTCTATAGTTTAGTGGCCATTTCAGTTCACGTTCAGTTCAGACATAAGGAATCAAATCCCATCAAGGTCAGCAGAGGTTAATGTGTCTCTGTCCAGCATGTACATTAAAAGGTCACCTCCAGCTCTGTCATATTTACTCTAGTCTATTTTCTTAATCCATCTAGGAATATAAAAGGTTTTTCAGCCCCTTACATCTTTTTCAGTCAAATAAAGCTTACGGCTTCGGCTTCACTGTTCAATCAACGAATAGCATTATTATCTCTTATCTTTGCTCCTGCACTGCCCTGGAAAAGATGTGAGGGGAAGCATCTCAAAATAACTGATGCCACGGAGTGTTTACTGTGAAAAGTCAGGCACACCTTGACATTTGGTCAGAACAAAAAAAGAAAAAAAAAAGAGAAAGTAATAAAGCGAAATTGCTGCTGTTCTCCTGGTTAATGGAAAAGGTGAAAAGCACAGAGTAGTTTTGTGGTGCTGAAACAATGTTGCTGGTGAGGTCAAAGTTGCAGTAATTAGATGTGATCCCTACCAGGCTGCGCTGCTATGATTGAACTGTTTTATCAGTATCCTTTTTTAATCTATGCCAAGGGTGAACATTTGGATTGAGTAGACCTGCAGTTAGTTTATAGTTGTGGGAGGGGGGGTCTTAAAACACTATCTCCCAGTCCTAAGGGCTTTATGGCAATGTAAGAGTAAACCTGGAGAGCAGTGATATTTATCATAGGTTTAATGACAACTGCTCTTGTCTCGAGGCCACTACAAGTGTATTGCATTCTAAAAATTCACCAGTCAAATTGTAATGTCATTCACATCTCTGAATGTAATAGTACGGGAGAAGAGGTTGCTCTTAACATAATGCTCAATATCCATTTTTCTAGAAACTGAAACAAGGGATGTTGGACAGACAAAATAAATCTAGTATGTTAAAAAAACTTTTTAAAACTTCAAGAGATAGCTAATCAGGGATGACCTCTAATAGTCGACCAAACTCGATGAGAAGAGCCCTAGTGGTTTTCATTTCATTAAAGGTCTGTGGCAAAGACAAATATGCTACATCAAGCTTTGGCTTCTACTAGGATCAATTCATTGTTAGTTTTGGTCTTTTGATTACATTTGTTGAGAGTAAAACAAGACCATGACAATAAAACAATAGCAATAAACTGTATATCTTCATAAGCAATAATGAAATTGTCCCGTAGAATATCTGATCATATGTTGCGTACTACCAGCATCTCTGAAGCTCCGTAATGAGGCCTTAAACTTCCTATTTGTCTCCATGGTGTCTCCAAGAAACAGAGTAAAACAACAAATCCTAATTTGTAGTTGTTTCCCTGTTTCCAGTCTTTGTGCTAAGCTGATCTTACAGTCAGTTGGCAGTAGCTTTTTTTGTATATATAATAGACAAATAGAATGGTATCAATCTTAACTCTTTGCAAGAAAGTACACATTTCCGTATATTTCCCTGAATAATGAACAATTCCCTTTTAAAGTGCACAAGTAAAATGTAAGAATCTGTCCAATCACTATACTTCTATATCAGTTGAGTGGACAGTTGTCATTTCCATCTCATGCATAACATGAGGAGGGTATTTTGGCCCTTTCACTTCTGTGACAAGTCCAATAAATCTTAGGCTCTCTCTCTTGGTCAAGTATTCCATCACTGTGCCAAAACAGGTGGGCCATATTCTTGGCGAGACGTGTCTCCCTCCTGTCCACTGAGCAGTCTGTCCTCTATAGGCTGCGTCCTTGTCCGTGTCACTCCGCACCGGGACTGATGTGATCTGACTGACAATAGCGGTCTGTCTGCCAGGTGCTATCTTATAATCCTGCTTTACAGGAGTCACTCCTACTTATTAAAAGAACAGATGCACTAACATTGAGGGGAAACTGTAACGATATGAGCCAAAAACAGGGTGTATCGTTTGCTGATGATTGTATGAAACCAGCATGAGTCACTGTTCACCATTTTTATTTCAGCTGTTTGGCAAACACTGAACAGATAACCAAAATTTGTGTACATAAAGGTGGGCTGCTGTAAGATATGTATTCAGCTTAATATCTGAAGGAAAAATTAGATAAACCCAAACCTTTTTGACCTTTTAAAAAAAAAAAGAAGGAAAAAAATGTGATACACAATCTAGTGCATCATAACAGGCTATATTAGATCATACAGGGAAGTTATTTCAACAGACACATATTTTTTAATGGCAAAGATGTTTAAAAACAAGTTCTCAGTGTTCATAATTGCCATTATGTTGTACATTCTTTTAATATCTTTGATAATGACGGTGTCATTAAGTATATAACAATGTAAGTGTTTTCATCTTTCCACCATTTGCATCCGCAGTAATTGCTGGCATTTAATGTCGACTGGCTTTTGTCTTTTGGCATTTGCTCTGCTTGTGGGTATGTACACATTCTTTATTTATCAAACCTCCTTTCCTTTTGCTCTCTACCAAGACAAAATGTTGTGTGAAAAATGAAATCAAATAGGGGCAGTCTGAAGAATCTGGATCGAGCTTGAAAACATATTTACTTTCGATAGGAAAAGAAAAGAATAACATTGCTTCGTTTTAGCCAATGAAGACTGTAAATGCTTTATGTTCTTGTTGCTGTTACAGATAGTTTGATATTCCTCAAGAAAAATACTGTTTAAGATAACATTATGCACTTTGCCATCAACATATAATCACACAATAAAGTCAGACCTGTAACCACATGAGTAAAGAACCATACCCCGTCACATTTTATAAATCATAATTACACTGGAGAAAGCTGAGAGGCCTCAGTCTCCAGATACTAACAGACTCTCAAAAACATTACACACAATATGTTACAAGCTAACGGCAGCATACTGTAATAGAGTGTACACTTTATGTATCGTATGTACAAAATGTTCTTTTAGAGGTGATGTGTTAAACCCATAAACCACCATAGCAATCAAATAAATCTACAAAACTGATCTACAACTTGTACCGAACAAGAGATAATTGTTACTTTTTTCTGGCTGTGTCTGTCCTTTGAGGATACTCTGACAAAAAATGTTATGGGCTTTGAAATGTTTTATGAATCATATTCCATACAGTGTGTCTATGAAATGTGTTAGTTGTTCATTGTCACATATTGTAGATCAACACTTTTAGATCAACACTTAGTATTCCTTAGTTTATTGGCAGGACAAATCAAAGCACAGTTATACAGAGAATGATCTTCATCCTCAAAACGCTGTTCACCACATTGGCAGTTCATTCAGTCAAATGTGCACCGATTTCACACATTCAGAGAGGTGAATTTATTCATGTTTATCAGATCACAGGGTCGACTCCAAAACACGAGTGTTTCTAAGTGTGAATCTGATTATCGAAGTCACCAAATTGCCCCCACGAGGCAAACAAGTTGATATCTCAGTAACAGCTCCAGCAGGTCTGTTTTCAACACAGCAACAGTCAACATCAGATATAATCCACTGTTGTCTATGATTTCAGTGCTGTTACTGTGCTGTGTTGCTCATTTCCATTTAAAAAAAAAAAAAAAAAACAGGTGTCACACTTTGGCAAATGTCCAAATTAAAACGAGTTGAGATGAGAGTGTTGATCCATCATCCTCAGATCCTACAAAAGCTTGAAACCGGTGATAGTATTGGTGTCAAAGCAAAGGCAAGTGCGAGGAGCATACTGGAGGAGTGTAAGCCGGTGAGTTCAGCTGCTGAGCTTCTAGCAATGGCATTTGAGCCACTGGACTCCTCCAGTTGATGCTTCAGGGGAAAAGACCACATTGTTAGTTACATTGTGTAGAAAGTCACCATGAATCTTACATGTAAAAGATCACACTATGTGTAGCTTGTATAACTACAAGATTTCTATATAGATGGCCTTGAAAATCAGGCCAGAAATATTCTTCTTTATTTACATTGCAGCCACATTGGATTATAGAACAAGTAACTAGAGCCCTGTACAATGGCAGGGTCAATAATATTACAACATACTGCATTTGTTAGTGCATTTCTAGCTACCATTTTCTATGTGCATTTTCAGTTTGTGCGTATGTTTTTACACATGGCTGAGGTAGAAGAGTTTCTATAGTGATTTAAAAACAAAATGTGATAAAGTGCATGTACATTAAACGTCCACTGAAGCTTCCACTCCACTAAAGAGACTAACAATAGTGGCAGATGAAAGCATCACATGTGTGGACCGATAAGGACACTGCAACGCTCTTGAAATAAATACATGAAACAAACATAAATGCCATATTGTCATTGTGTTTTTCGACATTGTTTTCCACCAGTTCAGGTTTGACTGGTGCTTTTAATCACCTTGTTGTGCCCTCTTCATCTGCACTGGTTTAATGGCACCTGACTGGAGAATTAGCTCCACTTGGAAATATGCATTCATTTGCATTTTCTTTTGGCTATTTTCTGGAAATGTGGTTAAAATGTGAGCTATATTTGAATGGAACGTCAACTAGTGATACACAGATTGCTGCTGCTGTATTTGTATTTGATATTCCAGTACAGAAATACTATAAAGATACTGTATGTTTGCAGTGTTGCCATAAAGCTGTTACAGACTTTAAGAGTGAGCCATGACCAGAGAGCCTTTACAAGTTTATTTTTCAACGGTAATGTTTAACTCTTTAAATTTTGTGTTTTTTAAAAAATTTAAGGGATCCATAGAAACATATTTGATATTATGTTGTATATAATATCTTTATCAGCCTCACAAAACCACTATTGTCATTGCTCTAATAGTAACCTTGAGTGGAATGCAGAGAATAAAACAATTCTTACCAGACATTGAGAAGTATCCACTGTTTGATTTGACACCAGTTTTTGGGCCTGGAAGGAAGAAAATAAGGAAGTAAACCAGCATTAACTTTGATTTGTTTTTTTAATTGTGTTTGCCTGTCTTTCAAGATCAGACTGGCTGATGCAAAACTTTAGCAGACTGCTTCTTTGACATTCAACCAGTCTCAGTGTAGTCAAATAAAGAAAATGTCTTGGCCTTAAAGTTGAATTGTGGCTAAAGGCATAGTTTAATAGTAAAACAAGGTCAAGTTAAATCATTACTGCATCAAACCAAACTCCCACTGCCACAACTGTACAGCACAACACACAATAAGATTTATGATAATACTTTTAGTGCCCACAAATTCCCATAGTTTAGACCTTCATGGACCTCTTTGTATAATTATCCTCCTTGAGCAAGATGTGTGTGATTCAAGTGTTTGTGTTTGTCTGTGTGTGCCTGTTTGTGCCAGCTCAAGGTTATGACAGTTTAATACATTAAAACTTTTCTCAGACTGCTCCAAACCTTTTCAGCCACACATAAATATACCCACACACAAATATGCACACACACACACACACACACACACACACACACACACACACGCACACGCACACAAGCAAACAAACAAATAAATACACACTCACAGATACAGAGATGGAGTACAGAAAATGATAAAGTGGCTCTATAGTGGTTTGGGAACATCATAAACACTTACACTCACACTCACACGCGTTGGTTCTTAAGTAGAAAGAATTCTATGAACTTGGATTCTGGAGAAGAATGATTAATTGCTCTATAGGAGGTCTTTCCTCTTGGAGGATGTTTTTGCTAGTGATAAATCATATTATCGCTATTAAAAGCCAATATGATAGATTGTCTCCCTTTAAAGTATGTGATATCATCTCATATAAAAATATAGCCCTATAGTATTTGTCTTAGAAGAATAGCAAAGGTCTGGTTGCTGAAGCCAAAATGTTCCAGAGGAGAGCTGGAGTACATATAAGCACATTTAAACAAAACATACAATTTCTGATGTTAAATGTCAAAGCCAGCACATTGATTTGGTTTTCTACAATTGCATTTGATATTTCAAAACAAATATCCATTTGCATCAGTCTGTGACTGCTACGAACATTTCAGATTGCACTTTTTAAAGTCACACAAGGTCTCTGAGATTTTTCTGCTCGCACACGTTGGATTAGGTTAGTTAGATTTAAGAAGAAATGTGAAAAACTACAACCACCTTTTGTAAATTACATAATGTCACCACAAGGTCAGTTTAGTAGTTCGCCATTTTGGAGCTTTTCATAATACACAATGTCACACAGTCTTCATCAGCATATGGATGCTAAGGAATTGACCTGGGAAACAGTAGTTGAAAGAATGGTGTCTTTAGTAGCAAATTTGGAGATTGCATGACAACTGTGCAGGCTATCTGTTGAGGGGCATAAAGCTCCAGAAGCTCCAGTATAGCTACTGAATGGACCTTGTGGTGAGATTTGGTTAAAAATGAACTTTATGGTCTCTACTTTGTCAAGCTTGAATTTTCTGTTGAGGGTACTGTCAGAACTGCTAAGTTTACTAGTAATTATACTTGAATGCAGCTATGTTGAATTACTGATTTACATTCAACAACAATGTTCAGTACAAGTGCATGAGGTAGAAAGACGTTGATCTGTGTCTCATGCCACTAATCAACATTGACATTTTTATTATTTAACCATGAGCATATATATAGTTGTTACAAAGCTAGCAGGGATTTTAGTAAACATAAACCTCAGTCTGGGGGGGAAAAAATGTGGTACATCCTTACAATGACACTGTGTCCCTGTGCACACACACACACTCACAGACACACTACCCCTGTGGGCCATTTCTGATGTTACTGTGGCAACCAATTAGCTTTGACATGACAGCTTTGGAAACTCTGACTCCACACTGACGTCTCATCTTTCTGCCCAGGAGGGGGGATTCTGCATGCCATCATAAAACCATCCCTGATCCATCAAGGTGACAGAGCCAGACGTCTGACACTCAGACAGAGGCTCTGAATAGACATATAACCTGATGTTTAGTCTCAATTTGGATTCAGGAATTTTCTTTCAGTTTACTTTTTCTGTTCTGATGCCTTCACAATGTACAAGGACAAAAAGCCTGGAAATTCATCAAAGCATTTGTTATTACGTGAGAGGATTTCATGTTTGTCCTTTTATTTTCCCATAAAAAACGTTTGGTGTTATTTTTCTTTTTTTTTTCTTGTATAGACGAGAGGCAAAGCCACTAACAGCAAACAGACAGCTGCACTGAGATAAGTAGTTTTTCTGAAAATTAAAACTAATTACCTTGCAGAGCAGTGGTACCTTTTTTGTTTCAGCAAGGGATTCCAATAGAGAACCAATAAAGTTTCTTTGTTAATGAGATCAGTGAAGGTATAAGCTGGCTGACAGTCATTAGTCTGAGTCAGAATTAAATTAGGTAACTCCATTATTTGGAGATTTATAACTTAAAAGTCTATATTGTCTGTATGCATTTATAAACTATACAGTCAAATAAAACGTACTGCTGAGCGGACTATATTGTGGTGCCACCAGAATGCTGCTTGTTTCTTTAGATTAGTTTGTGATTTTTCTTGAGGTATTTTGAGCCATAGCAAATTAAAAGTACATTCAATAAATCAGAAAAATGCAACTGGATAAATTAGTTTTTTCAACCCTGCTCTCGCATTAAGTTGATGACTTTTTAATATTATCAAAAATGACGCAGTAATTTCATCTCCACCTCTCCTGCTTTAATTTATTTTTTATGCATTGCAATTTTTATTTAGAAATATAACATCAGTGCTGTATGTGAAAAACAGATACAGCCTCTATCCAAACACAGACACACTCTACCTGTAAGGTCCCACAGATGTGATATAGTGAGTCGCCATCAAGGTCCAGTTTGCTCATGTCCGTCAGTGCATCCAGTGCGTTACTGGTTCGGTCTTTACCCCTTCGAGTAATGCTAGGCTCTAGTACAGTAGGCTTAATTGGAGGTTGGGGTTGCCAAACTCCAACATCAGTACCATTGCCAAAGGCCTGGATGGCATTACCTGCAAGAATATAGTGTATGAACTGGTGTCATTCTTGATCCTGTACGTACAGAATCAATGTTTCTCTAAACAGTATCTACTTAAATGAAATGTAGCAGGAAAGAGTTGTACAAAGTTAGAAAATACTGTGCACATCTATGAGAAAATATGCATCAAATGTCATAACTTTGTTGCATTTGTATTATCCATCAGAATCCTCCCCGAGCCCTGTTTAAAAAAAACTAAGTCTGCACATCTAACAAGTTAGCAGATGTCTTATGGTCTTGCATCAGAAATAAATATGCAAGTGACATGGCCCAAAACATTTAATGTCCAACTAAATGCTGCTTATAATTGATACTTTAGATAATTGGGTAGGAGACAAAATGACTTGACCTTTCTCAAGAGGCTTTTTAAAAGCAGTGTCTGCCGGTAATAGCTATGATTCACAAACCACTACGTAAATTAACTTAAGAGCTGTCTGAAATAAGAAAACTTCTAAAAAATGTTATGTAATGTAATTTTCTCATCATTAATTTGACATTTAAGCTAAGATACCTTTTCATAAGCAGACTAGAATGTGGGCAAAAACTCTTTTGTATTTAGACTTAATCGGAGTAGATACCGACTCTGCGTAAGTTATTGTCAAAGCAATTCAATTAAAATTGCTCTATTTTGATTTTTAATGTGGAAATGCCACTGATATTAACATGAAAGTGAAAAAAACTGCTGAAAAAAGATTATTTCTTATAACAGTCAAAGTAACAGAAATTGTATTACAGAGAGATGATGTCAAACACATTATATCCCAACCCATACTATTCCTGTTTCAAGTCATTATCTCCCAAGTACAGACAATACAATTAGTCAATCTGACCTAATGCAGTAAAGAACAGTGCAAGGTTGGAAGGGAAATTTATTTCTGCAGGATGGCTAAGTATGTGAACTCACGTAGGCATCGATTGTTGGTGAAAAACTCAGCAAATCTATCACAGTCTGCCTTGCTGTTCCCGCTGCTGCTGCAGTCACACCATGGCGACAGGCTGATGCCAAGTGATCGCTCATAATTGGGTGTCATCACTGTACCTGCAGCATAAAGAAGAAAGCTACTGTCAGTCATTGTAAATGTAGTCCCATTATCGTAGTTAGACCCCTTTTTCGTTTAGTCAGTCAGTTTTGAGGCTCTTCACACTGAAATGTGTATGTTTAGGTCAGCCAATGAGAGTGAGCAAATTCTACAGAACTTGCATTGAATTCCATTGCATTATAACCTGCTGAATCTCGATTATTAGACCAGAGATTATGTGGCTCGCCCAGTGGTCTTGGCTATTCAACAACATGCACATTATTCAAAGGATTGCTGATGTCAAGAAAGTTGGCAAATTGCAGCTCTGGGGAGTATTGTGAAAAGTGTTTTCAGGGCTGCTGTTTCTTACCACTCATTTTGAGCCAACAGTCGTGACCAAGTTGGGGCACACTCTACTTCATGGGCAGAAACTCAAATGGAACCACTTTTGGCTATTTTGTCAACTTGATGTAACTGAATAAAACTGGTCCCTTTTTGAGAGGGAGCATGGGGTTGAGTAGGCTCATACTTATTAGCTGTGCAAGTACATGCAAATTTCTGTGTGCATAGACAGAGATGAGTGGTTAAGCCAGGGGGGCCCCATTAGAGGGTGTAACCTGTGTGAAGTAGAATATGAATGGTGTAGATTAAAATGTCTGCCTGTTGAGTTTGCAATTGGTCACTGTTGCCCTGCGTTCAAATCTCATTACTAAAACTCAGTGGGACATCATTTTTCCTTTCTACATAATGAAGCCCACTGATGAAAGAAAGACTGAACAAACGGAAACAAGTACCATTTCTGCACAGTGCTATGATGTATGAACTGTCATGTCCCCTAGGGTAGGGATTATGCCAACTGACGATAGGATCATATATCAGTGATTTGAAGGATGATTGACGATTGGTTTTTCTTGTGAAAATCTTAAGGCAATTTTAACTAAACTTACTATCAGCACTAAGATGATATAAAAATAATCTCCAGAATCGGCGCCCTGATGTGCATTTAGTAATGTTTCTGGTGGAGCAGTATGCCCGCCTGCTGAGCCCTGTTAATCAGCACAACTGACGAGTGAATTTTAAATCCTTAATTACAAACTAGTTTGCGTCTCTTTTCCATGGATTTGACACCACACATCTCTGTTCTCTATATGCCTGCTCTCTAAAACTTTGCTCTGTGCTCCATAAGAGTAGTTTACATTATGCAGATAATTTGGATTGTGATATTAAACATAGGATAATGACAATAAACACACACATTATGTTGTGATGTAGTGGCACCCAGCACAGACACACAATTGTTGGAGACATTGCTATTAAATAGATTTATTTAAATGTGTGCAATAGGGCTGCCCATGAGTCATCAGTCTGGAAGCAATGCAAATGAGTGAACATAAGTTTGTTTTTCCCAGTGAGGATGTCCTAACCTGCTCTATGCGTCGGGCTAAGCAACGTGTCGCTTCTCACCTTGGTCGTATCATGCAAGTGTCATGCACCTCCTCCACCTCCAACCTGCTAAAAGAGTGGAGATGGGTCTAAACTAGTCAGCAGTCAGCAGTGTAAGATTGAAGTTGTCCGTGCTGGCATTTCACACTGGCATGCTGTGACGTAACTGCCCCCCACCTTTTTCTACACCTGCCGCTCCCCTGGCGATCGGATCGCCTATTGCAATCTCGAGTAACCGCGATTGGACGATATGAAAATAGAAATGATTGCTCAACCGTAATGTAAACCCTACAGATTTGGAATTGACAGTGATCTCAGCTGTCTGGCTGCTAGTGGACCTGTTTCCTTATACTTTTTCCTTATACATACTATTAATACCATAGTATGTGTAAACTGTGTTGTTATGTGACAATTGTGTGTTTATGGTTTAAGTTTTATATTTTCAGATTCATGAGTTGTTTTTTTTTTATAGTTTAGACACTAATAAAAAAAAATAAAAAAACTGACATGATTTGTAGAGAAGTGTATTCATTCTTTAACAAGTGTAGCTGTATGGACCAGCAAATTATCCAACCCCAACTTCTCCACACGCCTCTGTTATCTTTTGGCTTAGGAAAAACTAAATCTGATAAACGCTTGATACGTCACTTCTAATCAAGCTGACAAAATCTTCACACTACTAATAAAGCAAAACAGAAGAGAAATCAAGATTAGAAAACAATACAAAAAAGTTTGACTGCTAAAAGAGTCATTGACAAATAATGTTTATAATTTGAAAAACTGCCATGAATTTGATTAAATTAATTTCTTGTGAGCTTCTTCTATTGGGACATTTTCTTATTTACTTTCCTGGCTGCAAGTTAATCTGAATAGATTTGTTGAGATAGATTGTTGAGCAACAACGGCACAAAGCGAATCATAAGAAATATTATTAATATCACAGTTATAAGTCTAGTTATATAATTAATCTGGCAAATTCTAAAGCCAATTTAAAAAATGCTTTAGAGAATAACCTACCAATAAGACCAGAGTAAGACAGCAGACAGTCAGCATAGTTCTCCCTCAGACAGCCAGATATGGAGCGAGCTTCAGGCTGACAGTTGCTGATAAAGTCTGCTAGCCTTGACCTAAAAACAATAGAGATACAAATTATGGATGCTAATTTCCTGATGCTGTTATTAGATATCAAACAATACAATTACAAGCACTAGTTTAATCATTTAAAGCCACATATTAACTAGCATAAAAAAACAGTGTTTCCCATTATTTGCAACCAACTCTTGTGGGAATATATAGAATTAAGAAGTGTAATTGGAAAAACTGCTTTAGTTTATTTTTTACAACCGATACAGCGTACTAGAACCTACAGTACACACTATGTTATTGTTTCACATGCATCTTTAACAACTGAAGACAGATGTGTTTTTCTACAGTAAAAGCAAACTCTGTCTGTGCCTTCCTACCTGCAGATGTAGTTGGTCTTGCATGTGTTTTGAAGAGACAGACAGTTAGGTTTGTCTTTATCCTCATAGGAGCAGACGGGTACAATGGTTTGTCGTCGGCGTTCTGCACATGCCATATGATCTCCCGCTGGACAGGAGCAAAACAGCATCCCATAGCTGTATTTAGTTGGAACCTTTATTTTGGAAAGAAAAAAAAGACAACACCTGTTGACGCAAGCGGTGTTAAAGGCCGGGGGGCAAAACATTTTTCACTTCCTCCCAGGTATCTTTTGATATCTGCAAAACTCTCCTCTAACTTGCCATCTAAAAGAAAAACATCTTCAACTTACAGTGCAGCTCCCACCTGTACTAGAGCAGTTGACTTACCATACCCAGTTTATAAATATACCTTGTGGTAAAATATTGACAAAATGTTAACATGGAGTCTTCAGATTCACTGTAACTCCCTCCAAAACATCAGTAGTAGCTTTTAGTGGAGTGAAATGTTATGATAGGTAACTGGGACTTTAATACAGGGTTGGATTCAAATAGGGCTACAAAATCGATTATTTGTTTGGTCCATAAAATGTTATACACCTGTGAAAAATGTTCATTGATGAATGATGACCCACACATCACACTTTACACATTTGAGATTTCAACATTGATTGATTGTCAAAATAGTTAATTTAATTGAGTTTAATTGAATAGCTGACAACTAATCAATTGATTGAACAGTTACATCTCTAGATTCAGCTTAATTTGAAATTTGCACTGAAAATAGCATTTTTCCTTTCCATTTGACACCTGGTTTGGATGTTGGTTTGAGCGACTATAAAATCAGACACACACAACTAAAAGCTACAAATACCACTCAAAATGAACATGCTTAATTACCTTGTCAAAGAACTGACGTAGCGCCTTGTGGCATTTGCGCTTGTTGCAGACCTCCGAAGCGGACACCCTGCTAGTACAGGGGCTGATGTAAGCTGAGCGGTATTTCTTACATGTGTCATTTAAGTTACAGGCCTTGGCAGCATTCAGACAGTTGTTCTCCTTTGTGGATGCAGGCTCAGCTAAGAGAGAAGAGAGACACACCATTTCATATTTCCTTATGTAGAAATTATTTCTTTTTGCACAGGTTACATTGTTGTTTACGCAGCTGAATGATCAGGACTTCATCAGGAAATGAACATGGTCGTGAATGAATTGGATGAGAAGACTTTTCATTATTTAGCATCTCTTTAAAAAACAGTTTAATTACATTGCTCCTGAGAAATTACACATCTCCATTTCTATCCGCAGCACTAAGGAAGAATCTCTTATGTGCTCTAGAAAATACTATCTTATATAATTAAGATTAAATAAAAGCCATTTGATTATTAAAATGTTGGGAAGTGAGTATTTATCCCAGCCACAGCCAGAACAAAGCTTTATATGATGTCAAAAACTGTCCAATAATTATCTTTTCATCCATTTATAATGTTGTGTGCGTATGAAAAGTGCTATACAAATAAAGTCTGATTGACTGATTGACCAGTTCCTCAGTTTTTATACTAGAAAAGACCTTTTTCGCAGCATAACCAGCATAACCTGGTAACCCAAGTTTTACCAGTAATACTAATTAAGGTTCTCTTCTACTCAGGTCAAACAGAGTCAGGGTGTTTCTATTGTTCTTATTGGCTGACTGGATAGGCTCTGCTACACTAAATGGAACGAAACCTTAATTAGTATCATTGGTAACATCTGTGTTTAATCATTATGTCAAAATGGCTGCTGTGAAAAATGTCTATTGGATATTTACGATATGCCTGTTGAACTGAAAAAGGGCTGTATGAGAGCTTTGAGCCATGCTTGTATTTGCAAATACCATGCAAATTGTGTCGATATAGATTTTTTTCCCCCTATGAATTATAGCACCAATTGATTGCTTTAGTTAATTCATTTGTTGCAATTCCTTTGTTGCATGTTTGAACTCATAATTCCCTGGCTAAATGGTGTACCTCAGGTTATTATCAGATCGCCCTCTCAGACCTCATTAGGTCTGGCATTTATGATCAAACGCCTATGTGCAACTGAATGCCAGAGTTACACCACACTGACCTCTCATCTCTTTGAGCACACTACTCACACTAGTACATTGTGTGTTTGTGTGACCAGTCTTATACATGTAGTTTGAGGGGGATTTTGCTGTCCTCAGCCTTACAGAAAACACAGAAATCTGTGCTTTGAAAATACAAACACCTGCCCAGACGCACTGCATTTTCCCTGCGTTGAGTTACGCAAACCGAGTCACCCATTTTTGCTTCCATCAAAGCAAAAGCACTGTACGGCCAACAGAATGACTCCCATGTCTCATTTTTCTCATTTGTTGTAGTTAAAGTCCTTCCTGCTCGAATGACTTCTGCACAGTAACACAAACTGTATCCTCAGCCCCGGCATGGAAGAATGATTTCTGTAATTCTGCCTTTTGAGGTGGAATTGAAGCTCACTGCACTCTTTCATGCACCGCAGAATGAGCCATGATTAAATCTGAATACATTCTTGAACCTTGGGTTAATCACATATTACAAAACCCATTACTTACATCTGACAAGTGCCTAGAGATGTGGGCTGTGATCCTTTAGTGGCTGTTTGTAGCTCTTGGGCCATAGGTGTGACAGTTCTACCTCAATTATTGTTACCCAGAGGGGAATGCTTACCATTCCATTTTATTTTTGCACTTTTAAAAAAGTTCTTACTTTAAGGACTTGGATATAAACATGGTTGTACGTGTGTGCGTATGTAGCAGATGGCCCGAGCTAAGTGTGAGTAAGGAGGTTGGAACTGTAGGTCAGCTATCAGCGTGACTCCATATAGACGCAACACCCCTCGGCAGGAAAAAACCTTTTCTATCAAGAGCATTTTTGCATTTAATAAGCTAATTTTGGGGTCATATTTGGTCTATTCCAGGAGAAATTTAAAAACAAACCATTTGTCACTGTCTCTAAGAGTTCATAGGAGAATTAAGCTCAACTTTACTTTATTCAAATCTCCTACAAGAGTACAAGAGCTGGTCTGGTAGTCTGGAACGTCTTAATGAACTTTAATTTTTCTTTTCATTTCTAAAGGGTTTTATCAACAGGCACAGACCAAAATACCACTGGATGCAATTGGATGGACCTACAACCAATCAGAGCAACGAAATGCGTGATGTAGCTTAGTTGGTAAATCTTAGCAACAAGCTGTGCAGTTGTTTGTTCTTCTTTTAGAGAAAAATACACTGTTCAAAGCGGATTCAATAGAAACAGTTCTACATCGTGTTGGTTGAAAAAGGCCAATAAGATTGTGCTCCTCTGTACACTCATAGTATCAAACGCACTGCATATTAGATAAACAGCTGTGATTGGCCAACCAGAACCAGGTGGCTGCCACACTTAACTGAGATGTGAATGCCAGACATGTTTAAATTCATCTCACAGAAAAAGCCCACCAACCTCAAAAAATAAGATTTGTGAACAGGTATTCTTACAATACTGTTCCAATATATCATTTAAACCTGGAGTATATGTTAAATAATTTCACTAAACATTATCCTACTTTCTTCAATTGTTACTCAATGCCTTGCAGTGCATACCAAGAACTGCAATTCTATATGTCGGCCTAAAATATGACATATCTTGTTAAAAGACCTACAGGCTTAAGAATACACAAATCTCACTTTCACAACTTAAGCCTTCTTAGGTTGCAACCCCTGGGCAAGGCCACTGTGTTTCCATTGATGTAGACCAAATAACAAGGCCCTCTAGCAACACTGGATTCAGACCCTTTGACCTCTAATAGGTTGATACAAAAGAGCTTTTGAAAGACCGCCAGTCAGGTAGGGCTAATGAATCTGAAAGAAGAGGCTAATTATGGTATCCTTGGGGGCTGTGTTCACTAATACAATGAGTAAATATGAAAATATGACAACTAAATGTCTCTATTGTACTGCTGCCAAGAATTTCTGTGTTTGTAATGCCCTAACTTATGAAATGCCAGTAAAGGTCTAACTGTGTATATGCAACATTTTCCATCTGTAATTGCTGAAAGCACTTTTTCATATCTGTGGGCTTAAGCTAACATATCCAAATGAGGTACACTACATGAGAAAAGACTAGGGCTGTGACTAATGATTATTTTCATTATCAATTGGGCAATTAATTGTTTGATGCAAAAATGGTGAAAAGCTAATGAAACATGAGAGAATGGTTGCCTGGTTTCCTGCGAGGTTTCCTGTCAGTAACATCCAGAGATCCTCATGCGTTTGATTGTGCATTCCCTTTATTTCTTTTCACTTATGTCTATAGATTCAGACTTAGATGGTTTAATCATCTCATTGCATAGAACACATGGACTAAAGAGCACCAACAGAATTTCCTGGACTGATGCCACCATTAAACATAAGAGCGGTGAGGTCAGAAGCAGTAGAGCCTTTCCTAAAAACCCTTTTATCTATCAGGTTTAATTCCAGTGTAGCAGTTCTGGATAATAATGTTCTGTCAAGCAATTGCTCAAGTCTATTTCTTTTTTCTCTGAATATAATTTTAGACTATAGGACCATGTGGTCATGGAATTTCCCTGCTATCTGTGTCTGACAATGAAAATCCTCCCGTATCCAAGAAACATTGATTATAGTAATATAGTATTAGAGGCTAAAACAGACATAATGTAGAGGCAAAAGTCTGGATTATGATGAAGCCCACTGCATAAACTCAGTTAAAACTATTAGCTCAGTCAATGAAGATAAATAGCATTGTCGGTGTATGGCATTAGAACAAGGCCACAATAAAGGGCTGTGTCTTACTTTAGTATATATTGAATGAGTATCAGGGTTCCTGATTTTAATTAGATAAACATTATTTTATGTGTCACAGTGAGGTGGGTTTATTCTGAGTTCAGCCAAATTGCAGACAAAAGACACATTTTCCAGTCATATAACCTGTCCTAATTCAACAGTCTATCTTTATTACCCTCAATATTTACTATCCCAAATACTGAAAACAACAAAATAAGTATATTGCAGAGTCTTTGTATGCTGTCTAGATGATTGTCTAAAATCGTCCTTCACAATGTATAACTGCCTTACTCAATCCTTCTAAACCTATTCCTCCACTTAGTGCCCTCTTTGTCATCTCCCATAATGGAAAGAAAAAAGCAGTGGTCAGAGCTCGCTCCTTCACGGCACCCTGCCTTCTATCAGGCATCCTGCCAGCATCACTAAATCCACGTCCCGCTGTCTCAGTATTTATGACCAGAGACCCAAGACACATTTATTAAGTGCATCCTTGTAATTAGCAAAATCTCATTTAGCTCCTATCACACCAGCTATTCCTTTCCTTCATTTAATCCTCTTGTCACTCATTGATCCTGTATTCATTCAACAGAAGTGCAGTACCCTCAGCATTGTTGGTGGTTGCCATATTCAGTATGATATATGAAGATATGTGCACCGAGATGCTGATGTTGGACTGTGGGACTGGTGGACCACAATCCTTCAAACCATGTTGCTAAATTTTATGCTGGGAATGAAAATCCCTCCAGACAAGGCAATGGTGATGGTGATAACAATATTTAGTGATGGTGGCCTGAGGAAGTTGCGCAAAGGTTCATATTTTAACCGTTCAACCACATAGTGACAAGCAAACAGGTTCCTTTGGAACCCAAACTACCCTTGACAGTTTCAGGTCAGTGCATGATGTCATGAGATAACATGTCCTTCAGATTTGACTCACTGGTTATGAGGAAAAGGTTTATGTTAAGGTTAAGGTGGATGCACATATGGTGCTACTGTGACTGCAGGATATGGGAGAGGGAGCAGGAAGTATGAGCGCACTTGGTTGCACCTGTTGATGCAGTGTGAGAGTGTGGACGCCCAGGCACACTTTTGCTTGCTCAAATGGGTGATGATATTCTGCTTGGCCAATTAAAAATATGATAAACAATCATTTCTATGTAATGTCTCACCATAAGCAGATGCCAAATAATGTAACTAAAGGTGTCTTTTTTTTTCTCATCCTCCTTCCAGCTTCCTGCTTTTAAGAATTAGTTGTTAAAA